TTATGAACAACAAATACATATCTATCAACAAGTGAATCTAAAAATCAAGTGAATAAAAAAATCTGATGAACAGAATAAACTGGTTAATATAATAGAATCAGGGGCATAGAAAAGGAGTGGACTGACAATTCTTGTGGGGAAAGGGGTGTGGGGGGTGCGGGAAGAGACTGGACAAAAATCGTACACCTATGGATGAGGACAGTGGGGGGGGGGTAAGAGCAGAGGGTGGGGTGGGAACCGGGTGAAGGGAAGCTATGGGGGGGAAAAAGAGGAACAACTGTAATAATCTGAACAATAAAGATTTAATAAATTTTTAAAGATATTAAAAAATGATATAAAATGCTATAACATAATCATTTATATGAATTACATATATGAAATATAATGTAAATAATACTAAAAGCTACAGGTTTTTTTCTAAGCACTGTTTTATCTACATCTCAAAGTTTGATATGTTGCCATTTTCATTGGATTAAAAGTATTTTCTCAGAAAATAAAAAAGATGTAGTGTATACTAGTATACATGGTGGAATATTATTCAGCCATGAAAAAGATGGACATCCTGCCATTTGCAACAACATGAGTGGACCTTGAGCACATTATTCTAAGTGAGATAAGTCAGAGAAAGACAAGTAGGGTATGATATCACTTATATGTGCAATCGAAAAGAAGTGAAACTTCAAAAAAAACCAGAAAGTAAAATGGTGGTTACCTGGGAATGAAGTGAGGGGATAAAAATTGATGTTGTTTGAGGGTACAAACTTGCAGTGAGTCATAGTGATCTAATGCACAGTATAATAAATATAGACAACGATATTGTACTATAATTATTAATGTGGGCATATTATAATGTAAATGTATCAAAGTAACACATTGTACACCTTAAATTTACACAATGTTACATGTCAAATATGGTCAGTTAAAAATAAGTTAATTTTTAAAACTTTGCAAAGATTTGTGTTTAGGCATGTCTCTTAGCTCTCTAGAATCTTAAAACTGGATGGTCAGTATTCATGGCTGCTGGGTGCACCCCTGCTCAGCTTTCAGTCTCATGTATTGATTTAATTAGACTTCCCTCAGGGTTCTAGGAGTGCCTCAATAGTCTCCTATATACTCCCTACAGGCATAATTTTGCATACAATATTACCTAATATTAACAGTAACATTGAGCAGCTAATATGCATGCCTTATGTACAGTAATATATTAAATGCCTTAGATGTATTTTCTCATTTAATCCTCAAAACAATCCTATGCAATAGATATTATGGTTATTTTTTTAAATCCTCGCCTAAGGATATGTTTTTCATTGATTGTAGAGAGAGAGGAAGCGAGAGGGAGAGATAGAAATATCGATGTGAGAGAGAAACATTGATCAGTTGCCTCCCTTATGCAAACCCACAACCTGAATATGTGCACTGACCAGGAGTCAAACCCTCAACCCTTCAGTACAATGGGACAATGCTCCAACCAACTGAGCCACACTGTCCAGGGCTGTAATATATGATTAATGTCTTCATTACACAGATAAGGAAACTGGAGCTTAAAGAGGCCAAGTAACTGTCTTGATCATCACTCTATTTCCAGTGCCTCGTTCATATAGCGACCTCCCCATAAAAAAAACAAATGTATTTTTTAAAAAAAAATGCCAAAACCGGTTTGGCTCAGTGGATAGAGCGTCAGCCTGCGGACTGAAAGGTCCCAGGTTCGATTCCGGTCAAGGGCATGTACCTGGGTTGCGGGCACATCCCCAGTGGGAGATGTGCAGGAGGCAGCTGGTCAATGTTTCTCTCTCATCGATGTTTCTAGCTCTCTCTCTCTCCCTTCCTCTCTGTAAAAAATCAATAAAATATATTTAAAAAAAAAACAAAAACAAAAAAAACCACAAATGAATAATTGATTTAGAGAGAGAATTCTGGAATATTGGGAAGCACCAGGAATCCTTCTTCCCACCTAGACAGCAATTATACTGGCAGAATCTGTCTGATGTAACCATTTAGAGGTCTGGAGTCTATTCAAAGTTAATTTCAGTCTATTTCAGCTTTTAACATTGTAGCAGCTACCAATCCCCACACTCTCCAATCCCATGCCAGGAAGCAGTGCATGCATTCCAAGAGCTGTTTGCAGAAGCCAAAGTGGGCAATAAGACTTCATCCCCCGCCCCCCACCAAAAAAAGAGGCCAAGTAACTTTTCTCAGAGTCATATAGTCAGTAACTGACCAAGCCAAGACTCTGGCCAAAGTCTATCCAACTAGAGAAGGTATGTGCTTAACCATGATGCCAATATTGCCTTATTACAATAGTAATATAATGTTCAAGCCAGCCTGAATTATCAAAAAGAGATTTAAAATATGCCAAGTGCCTTTTACTTAAAAAAATAAAAATTATGATATACTTTTTAGAAATACTTCTATTCAAAGTGGATAAAAGTATTTTAAGCATTAGTGCTTAAAGAAGTAAACATTAGTTATCAGACAAGTTCACTTTTATGAAACAACTCATTTTCCAACAATGCCCATGAGGTGTTTCTGTATTATCTAGTATTCTTAGAACTGCAAAGCAGCTTAATATACCTTCTGGCAGCTTCAGAGTGCAGAAATCATTGGCAACCTCACCATGTTTTTATTTGCCAAATAAAAATGAAAACACTATTACCTGTTCCATAGTAGCCGTCATTCTATAAGGGATATAGAGTGATCTCAGGCCATACCTACTACCTCAAAAGCCATACACACAGGTGCTCATGCACACACATGTGAACATATGGACATGTGTGTGCATACACACACGTAGATCTAAAATTGGGCAATGGAGAAACCTGGAATAAAATATTCTGAGACAAGCATAGCCTGATGCTATGGGTAACTTTAGGAAAAATTCTGAAGCAAGCAAAGTTTATGTAGGGCAAAAGCTACTTGTATTGCTATTAATGATACTAGCTAACATTTGGAGAATACTATGAGAATACTATGTGTGAGAAACCCTTCAATGAACATGAATTTATTGATATCTCACACCAATCCTATGAGATAGGCACTGCTATTATTCCCACTTTACAGCTGAGGAGAATGAGGCATAAAGGCATTGTTAGGCCCTAGCTGGTTTGGCTCAGTGGATAGAGCGTCGGTCTGTGGATTGAAGGGTCCCAGGTTCGATTCCGGTCAAGGGCCTTGGTTGAGGGCATATCCCCAGTAGGGGGTGTGCAGGAGGTAGCTGATCGATGTTTTTCTCTCATCAATGTTTCTAACTCTCTCTATCCCTCTCCCTTCCTCTCTGTAAAAAAATCAATAAAATATATTTTTTTAAAAAGGCATTGTTAGCCCTGGCCTGTTTGGCTCAGTGGATAGAGTGTCAGCCTGCGGACTGAATGGTCCCGGGTTCGATTCCGGCCAAGGGCACATGCCTGGGTTGCGGGCTCGATCCCCAGTGGGGGGCGTGCGGGGGGCAGCCGATCAATGATTCTCTCTCATCATTGATGTTTCTCTCTCTCTCTCTCTCTCCCTCTTCCTTCCTCTCTGAAATCAATAAAGAAATATATTTAAAAAAATAAATAAATAAAAATAAAAAGGCATTGTTAGGTAACGTTGAAGTTCACAAAGCTACTGGTGAGAGAGAACTGAAACAGTCTAGTGTCAGAGTCCATGTTCAAACTACCACTAATACTTCCCCAGAAATACTACTACTAATGAATGTTTATACTCTTATGTCCCTGGTCCTGTACTAAGCACTCTACATATATTATGTCATGCTAGATGCCCAGTGCATGGATTCGTGCACCAGTGGGGTCCCTCGGCCTGGCCTGTGGGGATTGGGCCAAAACCAGCTCTCCAACATCGCCCAAGGGGTCCTGGGTTGTGAGAGGGTACAGGCCAGGACGAGGGACCCCACTGGTGCACTGGGCCTCTAGTATGCATGTAAGATCTTTGGTTAATCTCTTCCCGCTCTTCCCCCTACCCTCTTCCCTCTGAGATTCATTAGTCTGTTCCATGTTTCCATGCCTGTGTTTTCTGCTCCTGCATTGAGTGTCTGCCCCCTGGTGGTCAGTGCACATCATAGCTACTGGTCAGTTAGTCGGCCGGTTGGCCGGTCACTTAGGCTTTTATATATATAGACATGTTTTGAGGTTGGAGGTTTTAGTACTAAATTATTATGCAGCATCTCATTTGATCTTTAAAACAACCCCATGAAGTACCTATTGTTTGTGTCCATTTTACAGATAAAAATACTGAGGCCCAAGCCCTGACTGGTTTGGCTCAGTGGATGGAGCATTAGCCTGCGGACTGAAGGGTCCCAGGTTCGATTCTGGTCAAGGGCACATGCCTGGGTTGCTGGCTTGATCCCCAGTGGGGAACATGCAGGAGGCAGCCAATCAATGATTCTCTCTCATCATTGATGTTTCTATCTCTCTTTCCCTCTCCCTTTCTCTCTGAAATCAATAAAGATATATGTAAAAATAAAAATAAAAAAACTGAGGCCCAGAGAAGTGAAGTAATTTGGCACACAGGCAAAAGTATCAACTGAGTTTCAGTAAACCCCCTATAAGTACAGTAAGGATCCATGTAATATAAAATAATGCAATGTAAGTTAATATACAATTTCTACCTCAAGTCAGGTTCTCTCAGCTTTTCAAAGCCTCTGTCCTAAAGTGTTAATGGAAAAAAGTAACAATAGACTTTCCTTTCTTCCCAACTCAGGGGGAATACAGTGACCCTCTGAAGCAGCCAGTTGCCCTTAGTAGGGAAGCACACCATACAAGCTTTGTCACCAGAAGCCTGCTTTCAGGGCTTGGTATCTAAAAGAGTTTTGTTTTCTTTTGAAAATGGTTTCAGGAAAGGCCAAACTAGCAAGCCACCACTGGAGCCACCAATCTCAACCACGGTTTCTGTAAAATGCTTCCTCTATTTAACAGTGAAAATAAACCAAGGACTTTTACTACAACACCGTCTTCACTAGCAGAGTGAAAAAACAATGGCAACAAGAATGGCAATCTGGGTGGGCTTACCTCCACTTGAAGGGTTACACATCCTTTCAGGAAGTCATTGATGTTGTTGATGCAGTCAGCTTCTGTTTGGGGCTCCAGACAGTACTAGAGAAACATGGTCAAGTGTCACTTGGAGACTGTCATCCCAGATCAAACATACCATATTCACCATTCACTAATAACTGCACAGGCAGGCTTTTTTAAGGCAGGGAGCTGCATTGCTGTCAATCCAGGAAGAGAAATAACCACCAAAGGAAGTGATGCAAAAATCTAAACGGTTGGTCTTTATTTCAAATGTCACCAAACCTTTAGTCTCAAGCCATCTCTACTTATAAACTTTTTCTCATGCTTTTTGCCTGAGTATGGTGATAGCAAATCAGAGAAACCCAGATAGGTTTTTGAGTTTGGTTTTGCTTTCAACTTACTACCTCGCTCCCTCCTCTTCATGATGATTTTTTTTAATCTTTAAATTCTTTATTAGTTAAGGAATTACATTTATGATGATTTATTCAAGTATATTTTACCCTTTGTTTTTCTCTGCATCTGATTACAAAAATCTACATTTTACCACTATTTTCTCACTGCTTTTTAAGTTTAAGAAATTATAAGTAAGTCAACTTTTTTCAATAAAAATACAAACTAATTCAAGAAGGCAAAAGAACTATACTCAGAGTCACATTCCTGCTAACCTTAAGAACATAATTGCATGACTCTACCTTTAAACTGACTTAAAGTGCCTGCTTTGAAAATTATCCATTCTCATGACCATGGGTTTCCAACATTAAAAGTTTTGGCTTTTTAAAAGAGAATAAGGGTAGTTTCACTTTGAACACATGTTGTACTTGAAACATTTATTTGGTTTTTATTGCTTTAACAAACCTATGTGACATTTGGGATTATTTCTCCTAATTGCTAAATAGCCTATCTTTCAATGGATATTTATTTTTTTTTTGGAAAGAAAATCTACATTGATTTTAGTCAAACTGTCACTAAACACCATCAACATCTGTTATAAATCATCCCGTTATTTCACAGACTCATATGTACCCCAAGTTTAAAACATGTCCTCGGTACACAGGGAGGTCAAGTATCTCTATGACAGAATAAGCTTGTCAGGTTCAGTGTTTTTTTAGAATAAGCTTGTGATATGGGTGTTCTCTTTGTCCCCTAGTATCAGTGGCTTAAGAGTTTTTTTATAATACTATTACTTGGTGGCCAATTACTAAAGGATAACATTTCATGTTCTGACTTTTTCAAACTGCAAAAACAGTAAGAAAGAATATCCAACTCTTAGAAAGAGATTAAAGTAGGAGAAACCCAAGACCGGGACAACAGAAAATCTCAAGCATTACATTATTGCTGCTCTCTCACAGTTAGCACTCCTAAAGATACTGTAAATGTCCCTTACCTTTTCCACAGAGCCAGGCCTCAGTCTGTTGATCAGTTTGCACAGCACTACCCCATTTTTCAGCGAGGACTTCAAGAACTCCTCTGGATCACAGATAGTTTTCTTGGGAGAATCTAATACTCCCAAGGATATAAGCCATGTCACGATTTGCTCTTCTGGATTCATTCCTTAGAACTGTACGCTCGGAACAGCTCTCTGGGGCAGCTGCAAGGACGAAGCCACATCCGCGATTGCATCTGCTGTTGTCTTCCTTTTTATGAGTTCTCTTCTGGTGCTTGCAGAGCAAAGCTTTAAAACAACTTTCTTAGACAACGTTGGAACTCACTCAAATTAAGGGATTTTAAAACCACCGAGATCACACTCAAAGATATGGGAAGAAAATTAATGTAAAAACCCTGGATGACACTGGTTTTCTTTTTCAAAATCTGCAAAACAAATTCATTAGAATAAAAAAAGAAGAAATACACACACGAACACACACCAAGGGGGGGAAAAAACACAATGCAAGAAGCTGTAAGGGAAGGAAGTGAGGAGGATGCTGGGGAGGGAGGCGAAAGAAGGAAGCAAGCGCTCTTGGAAAACAGAGGTGAGCCAGCACTTCAGGGGACCTTGAAAATGAGACACTCTTGGGCCAGTCTGGGAAAATGCTGTCAATAAATAGTCTAGCCCCAGTGAAAATCTGGCTTCTGTCAGGAGGAAGATGCCAACTGGCTCTTAGGTCAGACAGATCTGAGCCTCATGGGGAGCTCTACTGGCACAAAATGGCTCAAAGAAGGTAGGTTCATAAAATTATTCCATGAAATGGCCGAATCTCCGTCTCACAGAGATGGTGGGTTATGATCATTGCTTGCAAAACATGTTGAGTTGCATGGTGACACTGTGCCAAGCAAATGAAGATTGTGCCTGCTGTCAGCCATCACTGTATATAGTCAGAAACGAAAGGAATGGCATTTTACTTTGCAGCCAAAAAGTTATGTTTAGGGAAATAGGCTAAGGATAACATCTGACATCCTGTTTACTTGCATTCTTGAGCAATTCTTTTTCTAAACCTGATTCCACTACACAATCCAGCTGCAGTACCCTTAGCAGAGGCTCAAGCACACTCACATAAATGGAGGGGGGGGAAACACACTTGAAAACAGAACTTTTGAGAACAAAAAAGCACTTGTCCTCTGTCTATACTACAGTCTGGAAGGTTGATGTTTCCCCAACAATAAACACTTTACATTAAAAATGCTTCTCTGAAGATAAAAACTGGGCTATAATAAAAGTCCTTGAACTATTCTTGAACATTTTTTAGAACCAGTCGAAATAGTCATACTATTGGGAAATTTATAAGGCCAACTTTAACAGTATGGCCTCCTCATATTGGTAAATGCATAGAACTCACCATCACTACCCATCCTCATACGTGGGATCCTCCTAAGCTTCAGAATCCTTTTCAACACATAGTAGGCATATACACACTACCAAATAATCAGCTTAGATTATCCTCCTAAATGTTTCCCAAAGCTTCCCCTACTTGCCCTGTCATAACACTTACCACACTTTACTATTATTACTTTTTGATCTGTCTCCTCTATCAGAATGTAACCTTCCTAGAGTAGGGGTCTTGTCTGTCTTGTTTAACACTGTTTCCAGCAGAGTGCCTGGTACACAGCAGATGTTCAAAAATGCTGAATGAATGGATGAATGAACTCATATAATGTCCCAGGTATAGATACTACCTGATTATAACAAGGATTTTTTTATGTTTTAATGTCTTAAAACATTTTTCCTTGCTAATTATTTTTATACTCTTATTGAAGTATAACTGACATAATAAACTACATATATTTAATACTAGAGGCCCGGTGCACAAAATTCGTGCACTCGGGGGTGTCCCTCAGCCTGGCCTGCACCCTCTCGCAGTCTGGGAGCCCTCAGGGAATGTCTGACTGACTGCTTAGGCCCGCTCCTCACTGGGAGCGGGCCTAAGCCAGCAGTCGGACATCCTTAGCGCCACCGTGGAGGCATGAGCCCAGCTTCTGGCTGAGCAGCGCTCCCCCTGTGGGAGCACACCAACCACCAGGGGGCAGCTCCTGCTTTGAGCATTTGCCCCTGGGGGTCAGTGTGCATCATAATGACCGGTCATTCCGACGTTGAGCTGAAAACTGGCTCTCTGACATCCCCCTAGAGGTCCCAAATTGTGAGAGGTCACAGGCCAGGCTGAGGGACCCCACTGGTGCACGATCTGGGCCAGGGAGGGACGAGGGAGTTTGGCCAGCCAGGGAGGGATTGCAGGAAGGCTCCAGGGCATGTCCGGCCCATCTTGCTCAGTCCCTATCAGCCAGACCCCAGCAGCAAGCTAACCTAACAGTCAGAGCATCTGCCCCCTGGTGGTCAGTGCATATCATAGCAAGCCGTTGAGTGGCCTTAGCATATCATTAGCATATTATGCTTTGATTGGTTGAATGGCCAACTGGACGACTGGATATTTAGCATATTAGGCTTTTATTATATAGGATGTACAATTCAATTAATTTTGACATATGTATACACCTGTGATACAATGACACACACACACACACACACACACAATCCAGATAAACCTTTCTATCACCCCCAAAATTGTCCTTGTAATCTTTTAACCCTTCATCCCTTCCTTCTCCCAAAATCCCAGACAACCACCAATTTGTTTTCAGTTATATATATTATTTTGCCTTTTCTAAGATCTTATGTAAATGGAAGTACACAGTTTGGTACCTTTTTGTCTGGCTTCTTTCAATTAACATCATTCTTTTTAGATTCATTCATGTTGTTGCATCTATCTAGAGTTCTATAACAAAGATTTGGCCTCCAAATGACTGGTTTGATGTAATTACACTTATAAGCAAAATAGGTATAACCAATCAAAAGTTTTAATTGACCTTTGACCGATGGCCAAGTTCATGTAATGGAAATAAAATCAAAATCCATTTGTTGATAAAAGAAATTTCCAAATCTGACCTGCTTACTTACATTTTTAAATGTCATTTGGACAGTTTTCACAATTGTTCATCAAAATTGTACTCTTGAGACAAATAAATTTGGCAGTATTATTGAGGTATCACTTACATTTTCTGGTGAAGACCAAAGAAGCCTGAGTAATTTCAGGAACTCAGCCTAGTTCAAAATAGACTTGAGTCCACTGAGGTCATCTGGATGAAAATCTGCCTCATTTTGGACACTGACTGTAGCAAATTACTCTAAGTCATCAAGTAAAATCAGAAAGGCAAGGTCTCCTCCTCAAGGCAGAAGAAATAGTTCTATTATTATAAAGTTTGGAAGTCAGGGTTGGTATGTTCAAATGTCAAGAAAGCAAGGAATTCTGGGACAGTAGCAAGCATATGGGTGAAATGAGTAACCATGAAACCCTGGCTGGGTAAGGAAGCCAGTGATGATAGAAAGTATCTGATGAACTGGGGAATCAGGAAGGAGGGTTGAAAGACTGGAGGTCACAGCAACACAAAGAGCAGACTTCACACAAAGGCATGAGTGAAAAAAGCAAAAGTCTCTCACTCTACTTCATATTCTTAATACCATACACCATGAGCCATAACCTGTGTCCTCACTGGCTTTCCTACCTCCACCTTCTTGTCTAATGAACTCTCTGGCACAGCAGTTTGGTTGATTTTCCCAAAACACCCCTTTAATAGTGTAATAGCCCTACTCAATAACCATCAAAGGCTCTCCATCACCTAAAACAATGATTTACAAACAGCAATGTACAAAAATAATCATCTTGTGTGGGAAGGAGAAAGGAATGAGTGGAACTTGAGCCAAATTAGGTAACATTTTATTAAAAACTAGAGGCCTGGTGCACCAAATTTGTTCATGGGTGGGGTCCCTAGGCCTGGCCAGCAATCAGGGCCCATTGGGGCCAGGCCGATCAGGGCCGGGCCAGAGAGGAGGCGATGGTTGCTGGGCTAGGCGCAGAAGGAATGGACGCCAGATGCCGACACTGCCATCATCGGCGCCATGCCACCATGCGGTTCCCTGCCTCCCACCTACTCCTTCCCTTGCTGCGGCGCCACCACTGTGGCGGGCAGGCAGAGGGCCAATCGGGGCCTGCCGGCTAGGGGGAAGGACGGGGCATGGGAGGTTGGCTGCTGGCCCCAAGAGAGAGCTGGCCCTCGGCCCCCCTGGGAAAGGGGCTGCATCTGCCACCACCCACCCCTGGTTCCCCGTCCCAGCGAGGGACCACAGGAGTTTGGCTGGCCGGGGGAGGTTGGCTGTGGGTATGCACTGAGTGGTCAGTGCACATGATAGAGACTGGTCGTTCCAGTCGTTCTGGGTCGCTTATCTATATATATATATATATATATATAGATATATAAAGAGGAAATATGCAAAACGGGTCATGACCAAACAGGAGGAGGTGCGCGAGCAGGTGAGGCCCAGAGTGGAGACAAAGACAGAGACAGGGGGCTGGTGAGCTGCCATACCCCAGCTCCAGCCGGCCCCGGAGCAGGAGCGAACACAGACAGGGACAGGGGGGGCAGCCCGTAGCCTCCACTGCCGAGTGCAGGCCTGGAGAGGAGACCGTGGGCCCGCCTCCCGCGGAAGCAGTGCGGCTCCCTCCTGCCTCCCTCGGAATCGGCGCAGGTCCCTCCCGGCTCCCGCAGAAGTGGAGTGGCTCCCTCCTGGCTCCCGTGCCAGGTTCGATTCCGGTCAAGGGCATGTACCTTGGTTGCGGGCACATCCCCAGTAGGGGGCGTGCAGGAGGCGGCTGATGGATGTTTCTCTCTCATCGATGTTTCTAACTCTCTGTCCCTCTCCCTTCTTCTCTGTAAAAAAATCAATAAAATATATAAAAAAAAAAAAAAAAAGAACTAAGGTAAATGTCAACATTTCTTAAAACTGGTTGCTAGGTACACTGGAACCTATTATACTATTTTCCTTATTTTTATGTGTTTGAAATATTCATAATTGATTTTTAAAATTTTAAATCTACTGGGGCACATGTTAAAAAGATTTGGGGGCCATACTCCCCAATACCCTAGTTCAAAGGATCTGCAATGGGACAAAGGAATCTGTATTATTAAAGTGCCCCTAGGGCGGGGGGGGAAAAAAGGACACTTATGTAATACCCTTTGTAATATTTTAAGCGAAAAATAAAAAAATATTAAAAAAAAAAAAAAAAAAGAAGTGCAGTGAAAAAAAATAAATAAATAAATAAAGTGCCCCACTTGATTCTGATACAGGTAGACCAAGGTCACACTTGAAGAAATAACTTTATTTCTGCCAATAC